GGGTAATCCTCCTACGCAAGGACCCTGTCTTCTTGTCTTGTGAACGGTGGATGCGTGTGTACTGAGTAATGCGATCCATTTTTTCCTGTGCATGTCTCATTTTCGCACCTTCCACAGTGAATGCATGTATGGACTGTGTGACTCTTTTGTTGATTAGACGATTGTCATCGGGATTTTGTTCGAGAATGCAAGAGTGTTTAGATCTGTAGYTCCGTTTACATTGCGCATGCCATCTGCCTTATGCTGCACGACATCAGCAGCCGAGCCACGAGGCCGCCCTGAGAAACAAGGCACCCAGGGACCAACGTTGTGTCGAACCGATCGGACCCGTAGCCATATGCGTGATCAAGCTGATCTGTGTCCAAAAAGATTGATTGGGGGACGCGCGAATCGCGTTTGTTCTTAATGACGTCTCAGGATATTTTGTGATTGATTGACATGTGGACTGACAAGTACCCTTCGATTCGGCGCCAGCCTCCCGTATCTCCCATCCCAACGCGACCTTTTCCTTACAGTGAGGAAAGGACACGTGTATGTGAGTGGGACGTACGAGAAGCCGTTGCACAAATTGGCGGGCAGTATTACTTCCCTCCGGCCAACCGCTATTCTGGGTTCGTAGAAGCCGGGTTTGTTATTATCGATACGCACTTCCCACCTTACTCGGTATTGTTGCCATTTAACGAGTTGATCGTCATTCCGTGGACGGCAGTAGAACCYCACTGRCCRCGCACTCTGTGCACCGAATGTCGGCRTTTTGAGCRCTACGAGTCCAGGGRATTCCACTACCGTGTGCGGAGTGAAGACGAGCATAAAGAAAGAGCCACGCGACTGAGACCATCCACGTCGGACTCGGAACTAACCAGCGAACGACGACGAGATCTAATACGAAAACGGGACACGCGAAGCGTGCCCAAGCCTTTCTTTTCTAAACGACGGGCTGTAGCCCGGTGAGAGGCACGACAATACTTTTTGGATTGAATTTGTCCCTCTCTTCCCGCCTCGCCCGCGCGCGCATTTCACGACGCACGAAAACAATCGACTTGCTCCGTCGGACCAACACGGGGGATTTCAGTTCCGTTTGTGTCCCCACACTCAATTTCCAAAAATCCTTGGCACACCCCATCTTGCTGTTTTTCTGGGCCACTTGTCCGCACAGCTAACACTCCGAACGGAAGACAGCACAGGGCGTGAGGTTAGCGCGTCACATATACCCTCAACTTGACCTCACATTTTTAGAACACAACTCAGCCACCATTGACGCCCAATGTGGAAATAGTGGAAAGTGGGTGTGGTGAGTACTCACTTCACAGCCTAGTTTCCTGCTGCTATGCCCTAGACCAATCCCTTCAGCCACCTTGTGTAACTAATATCCCTTCCTGCCTCTGACAGAAATACCCGCTACTTTTCCTAGCATTTTTTAGAACACAACGCACCCCACCTTTGATTCCCTGTTGAGGGACGTCTCCAACTTCCATCTCTCTCTCTCTCTCTCTCTCTCTCTCTCTCTCTCTCTCTCTCTCTCTCTCTCTCTCTCTCTCTCTCTCTCTCTCTCTCCACACACACACACATACACATGCACAGTATCGTGAAAAAAAAGAAAAATCCACAAACTTTTTTTGTCTTTAAAAGAAAATGCCATATGATATGGCAGCAAGTACACCATGACTGTTCCTGATTCCACACAAAGTCCTAACGTGGGCATCCCAAACGTGATAGCCTCCTTGTTTCTGCAACTCAGTCAATGTGTCGGTCAATCTCTCTCTCTCTTTCTCTCTCTCTCTCTCTCTCTCTCTCTCTCTCTCTCTCTCTCTCTCTCTCTCTCTCTCTCTCTCTCTCTCTCTCTCTC